AGAAGCTCTCAAAAAGACAATAGCGTCATTCAGCTGAAGTCAGTTCAGTGTCGATTCAGTTCAGTTCAACAATGCAGTTATCAATTATGAGATAAGATAAGTTCAGTAAAGCAGTAAACACTGTCATTATACACAGAATCATTTCAGTTCAATAAATGTGTCAATGTAGCAAAAATTCGTCAACCGAAGTTGAATCAAAGCAGCAAAAGACATTTTGAATTCTGACAGTTTAGTAAGATTTAGTTTACTTTTGTTTTTTTATTATGCATATTAAAGGAGTAGTTCACTTTAAAAAAAACTTTTGCTGATAATTTACTCACCCCCATGTCATCCAAGATATCCATGTCATTCTTTCTTCAGTCGAAAAGAAATTAAGGTTTTTGATGAAAACATTCCAGGATTTTTCTCCATATAATGCACTTTACTGGTAACCAAACGGTTCAAGGTCCAAAAGACAGTTTCAGTGCAAACTGCAAACTGTTCAAAGGGCTTTAAACGATTCCAGACGATGAATAAGCGAATCAAGCGAAACGATCGCTCATTTAAAAAAAAAAAAAAAAAAAAATTTTACGTTTTATAAGCTCAAATGCCCGCCTTGCTCTGTTCTGTGATGCGCGTTTGTGACTCTCCTGTTTGAACTCGTTTATCAAAATGAACAAATCTTTTTGCGTGTCATTTGGTTCATTCAACGAACGAAATGAACAAATTGACTCTGGAAAATATTTGTTCATTTTGATAAACGAGTTCGAACAGGAAAGTCACGAACGCACATCACAGAACAGAGCAAGGCGAGCATTTGGTAACCAAACAGTTCAAGGTCCAAAAGACAGTTTCAATGCAGCTTCAAAGGGTTTTAAACGACACCAGACGATGAATAAGGGTCTTATCAAGCGAAACGATCACTCATTTAAAAAAAAAATTTTTAACCGAAACCGTTTGGTTCCCATTGAAGTCCATTATTTGGAGAAAAATCCTGGAACGTTTTCATCAAAAACCTTCATTTCTTTTCAACTGAAGAAAGAAAGACATGGACATCTTGGATGACATAGGGGTGAGTAAATTATCAGCAAAAGTTTTTTTTTTAAAGTGAACTACACCTTTAAAGTTCTTGCCGATACTGCAATAGCTGACAAATCTTCTGGATACAATACGATCAATTCCAATAAATTATATACCATTTTGTAATAAATACCGTACAAATTCAATCAAATGAAATGCTGAATTTAGGCAAACATGTAAATCACATAACAATCATGTGAATTTATGCATTACGAAATTATAATGTAGTGTACAATATGACATTTTTTTTTATACAAGTATAAAAAATGAGGGCTTTTTAATTCACTTTAATTGACTGTCAGCAAAGGTAATTCAAATGTTAAAACTGAAGAAATGAGCATGCACAATTAAATAAACAACACTGATGTCCAGCTGACGTAACCAAGCTGTTTATAAGTGAAACCTGTTGTTGTGGTTGGATATGTACAATGACATTGTAAAATCATTCATTAAAAAAATACATCATGACAAAGATATGTTCCAGCATTTAAAATGGCATCTTCATTCTCTCAGTATGCGCAGGGGATATAACAGAGGGATCAAATACTAAATTAAATCTGTGCTTTTGATTAAGACTGAATTAATCATCGCAGGACAGTGGTGAACAGCGTGCCAATCAAATTCAAATTTCGTCAGGAGAATGCAATATATTAAAATTAAATTCAGAAAGGAGTGTGTACTTTAAAAACGCACTCTGAACCCTGGAGGTTTAAGAGAGAGCGAGAGAGAGACAAAAGTAAACAACAATCCCATCAGTGAACACTAATACATGTGCAAAGTGAATCAGCCTCTTCTAACTGTGTCCTGTCACATCACGTTATCGTCGTCACATAGAAGAATTCCTTCTTTATATTGTCAACACTTATAATTAGCCACGACATTCAGAAACAGGCGGTTCAAGAGTCGTGTCCTTTAGTAAACATAGCTTCAAACTATTTTTACATACAGACCTAATGAACAAGACTTAAAGGCATAGGCCTAGTTCACCCACAAATTAGGGTTCTGCCATCATTTGCTCGCCTATAATGTAATTTGCATACTTTTAATATTACTACAGATTTTGTGTGTGTGTTCTGTATGTATGGTTCATGAGGATACAAATGTGTATCTGTATTTGATATGGGTTTTACAAAGTAAATGTGGTTTACGAGGACACGTCCTGTGCCCTTTATTTATTCAATAAAACTATATATATATATATATATATAAATGTCAAGTTTTCTTGATGGGAATATTTAGGGCTCTAAATTTTCAGTGATAGGTCAACATGGCATCATGACTTTTCTGTAAACATATACGCCACTTTCAAACGGCACTTTCAAGTCAAGTGGCATGTTGTACGCATTTTCCGCATGTATGTATACGCTGTTAAATGTCCTAGCTAAATGAAGCAAAATGTAGATCTACATCTGGGAGTGATATTTTTTTTTCCTAGGATGTTAGGAGATGTCTCATAAATGCTATTAACCCAGTGACGGGTAGGTTTAGGGACGGGGTTGGGCTAGGTCATACTGTATTTATATACAGTAATGTAACGTTAAGTCACCAGAGTTCATAAACACACTGAAAAGCGATTATGCGTGTTGATAGCACGCCAAAAATGGAAATATTTCCAGGAGAGTAAATTTAAAGGGATACTCCACTTTTTTTTGGAAATAGGCTCATTTTACAACTCCCCCAGAGTTAAACAGTCGAGTTTTACCGTTTTCAAATGTATTCAGCCAATTTTCTGATATTTAGAAGGATATCAGTAACCAGACAGTTTCTGGTCTCATTGACTTCCATAGTATATTTTTTCCTACTATAGAAATCAATGAGACCAGAAACTGTCTGGTTACTGATATTCTTCTAAATATCAGAAAATCGGTTGAATGGATTCAAAAACGGTAAAACTCAACTGTTTAACTCTGGGGGAGTTGTAAAATGAGCCTATTTCCAAAAAAAAGTGGAGTATCCCTTTAACACTGGAGTTTTTGCTGTGCAGCCACTTGAATGTGACAGTATGGCTTTCTTTTTTTTTAGAAAGGAACATTTTCAGCAGGTTTAGCTTGTATTTAAAATATAAATACTAAGTATAACGGTATGATGCAGTGAAGTAATTCCCTTTAAAATCACAAAACCCTTACAAGAATAATATCAAAACCCTTACAAGCAAATATCTTTACCATCATATTACTTTAGTATATTACGATACTAGAAGTATATCATTATATACCAGAATGTATAAATTCAGATTATATCAAGTCAGATTTTATCTACATTCAAAACTATAAATTACATAACTGTATATTCATGTGTGCATTCTGCCTATCTCTAGATGCTCACCAGTGCCAGATGGCCAATAAACACACAGGCTTGAACTTGCGTTAGAGATTTTGCAAACTCTAGTGTTCAGTTATTAACATAAAGCGAGAAATGGATCATTAACCTTTTAAAAGAAATCAAAGTGGATTGCTTCTATAAACGCATATGCTCAATTAATTCTGGTTCATCTGAAAGCGCTGATGATGGTTGTGGGCTATATTCAATTTTGGGTCATGCATCTGGAGGTTTTCTAATCCCTGTCTGCGCTGTTGACCCGTAGAAAAGGTTTTAGAAGATTACTAGTTCAAAGGGAGAAAAATGTTTAGAGCAGAAGACTAGCATCCTGCTGTAAACACTGTAAAACAAACTGCTGTATTCTTAAAAATAGAATGTGAAACAGTATGCAATGCTAAACATTTCAAAACAGCAACCCAGCAAACACAGAACATTCCCCTAATGTTCCCGAATGGTCCCATGAGGTTATTTTTTTGGGAACCAAACAAGAACGTTATAGGAACGTTCAATGCAGGTTATTTTTAGGTTCCATTTTTATAATGCAAGGAGAATGTTCCGGGACCATTCCCTTAACCTTATTCTAGGAATCAAAAACATACCCAGAGCCTAAATTTGTTTGCTGGGAATACACTGTACACTCTACAAGGCAGTCTGGATCAATGATTACTACAAATGACAAAGCTGAGCACATCATGCTCATCATAGGAAACTTTCTCAGAATCAAAGAACTTTGGCTTACGTTCTAGCAAGGTTCTCTCAACGTTATGATGAACAAACATTCCTTTCAATAACCTTCCTTGAATGTTGATTCAAAGATATTTGGTCTTTAATAATGTTCTCAAAACATTAGCACAACAAATATTGTTTTACATTGTTCATGGAAGGTTCTGAAACATTTTAGTTTGACATTCATCTAACATTTTTTAAATTTCACTTCCTTCTGAATGTTCAAAAGTAACATTCCCATTCATGTAGTAACAAATGTTCATAGGCTATATATATATTAACAAACTTAGTAGGTCTTCTATGCACAAAGAGGTGTGTGTGTGTGTGTGTGTGTGTGTGTGTGTGTGTGTGTGTGTGTGTGTGTGTGTAAGAAAGGACAACCTTTTGAATGATATGGTTTTGGACGTATCAGGAAATTAAAAAAACATCTCGTCTTTAGCAGGTCTTAAAATTAGGCAAATACAGCCTCAGACGAACAACAACACGTGACAGATATTACACTCTGTCATTTATTTAACAAAAATAAAGCCAAAATGGAGAAGTGTGACAAACTAAGTTCTTTGTTTGTTCTTAAGTTCATTTATTGTACATACCATAAACTGTAAAGGTACATACCCATATGCTGGCGGGTGCAAACATTTCGTTTGGGAAATTTCATGACGTGTTTTTTTCCTGAAGCAGTCGGTAACCTGCACAAGTAACGTTATCCCTGGCACAGTTAAACCAGGCATCCTGCCATTTAAGTACCTGTCATTGAGAATGCCAACTTCTTTCTCCAAATATATAGACACACTTACGTCTGTGTATCATGAGTACATGCACACCCATGGTAAAAGAAACAGGTTACTGCGTCTTTAAATATCTGGCGCGCTGGCCAAACAGGAAGTGGCGTCAAAGGAAAACGCTCTGCATTTGCGGAAGTGTCAATCTCTGTGTGTTTTCTGCGATGCGTTGTGTGTGATTGTGAACTTATTGCTTTGATTGTGATGTCGGTGCTCTACATGGATAAATTAAGTCGTGTTTATGAGCGTTATAAGGAGTATGTGAGGACGAACCCGGCGGCCGCGTCTCATCTGGAGAGCACAGTGCGCGCGCTGAGTTACCTGATCGCAGGTGAGACTGTCTGTCAAAGTGAAAGTAAACATACTCTCTCACGTCTTGTAAAACAGTGTCGTGCAAGACCGGCGCTAGATTTGTGTTCATTCGGTTATTGTATTTCATTCGGCAGTTGTCTGTATTGTGTTGTTATCTTCTCTATTTGGGTCCTTGTTTGTTTATTTCATAAACATTCAAATTCATCAAATGTATCTAGGATGGGATTTGCATGCCTCGTACACATTTCTAAACGCACAAATATTTCATGTAGCCTAATTAACATGAGATATAAAAACAATGCAGAAAATGTTCTTTAAATAGTTTGAGATTTAAGTTTGTCATGCCACCTGTCACTGTTTGACCTGTCATGCCAAATACTGTATTATATATTTACTATTTCTATACTATTTCTATATGTACTTATTTCTATATTTATATTTTATTATTCGCTACTGTAAGCAAATCAATGTAAATAAACACACGCTGTTTTCAGATAATATAGATGTTTGAGCTTCTTCAAAGTAACCCACTCTCTAGATATTGAGAACTCTAGACCATTACATAGAAATATAACTTTAATGTATTTTTCTCATTACAGGTCGCTTCTCAGACTCTCATGAAATCTCAGAGTTGGGTAGGATTCACTACTTTATATAGTCTTTTTGTTTTATTTTTGCATTAATGACCTTCTATGTATTCTGTTGTGTTTTATGTGTTTCTCGCTTTGATTTTCAGTCTACTCAGCATCTAACCTGCTAGTGCTGCTGAATGATGGCATCTTAAGGAAGAATCTTTCTCGGACTTTGACTGTGGTAATGTGCTTTTTTTCTTTGAGCTCTTCTTATTGTCAGTGAAGTGTTTTTTTGGTTTCATTTTCCACCTCCTCTCTGACTTTTGAAAATAAATGATCCATTTTTGTTGCCGTGCCTTTGGTAAAGTAAGTGCCCCTTTCACACATGATCCACTCTCACTGACACATAAAATTATCCACCTTGTATGACGTTGCAAAAACAATTAGTCAGGCTGAAATGATCAGAGACCTTGTTAAAATGAAACTTCAACTGCTACTTGACATCAGAGTATTTGTTTCTAGTGTAGTAGAGAGTAAGTTTTGAGTTCTGACAGTAGGAGTGTGCGATACTGACAAAAAAAACATTACATCTTGATCGATATCATCATGATAATTAGACAATATTGTGCTGAGGGTTTTTTATGTGTGCGTGCTGGTACCTTGACTTGTTTTGGCCTGTTGTGGACAGCTGACTCAGCTTTTAATATTTTTCATTTTGTGTGCGGCGTTTTGGTCTTTAGTTTGCAGTGACTGAAATGTACTTTTTTAATAAGGGTTGACATTTGCCTCCTTAAATTGATTTCCATGGGCATTTTTACTTTTCAAAGGGCTTTTGTTTTGTTCTAACCTTACTAGATTTGTGCATCATCGTTAATGCCAGAATAATGAGATACTACAGGCTGTTACCAGTCAAATGAAATCAGTAACAACGAAATCCTTTTTTTCCACTGCATCTAAAGCAGCATGTAGATGTGTTTACTTTGGAATTATAATTGCATAAATGAATAATGCTATATTTTTAATTATTTTGAATATTGTAGTATCAATTTAAAATACAACTAAAAGGTTCAGCGTGTAAAATAAAGTAAATTGGCAATATAGTTCGACCTCAATATCGATATAAAATAAAATAAATAAAAAGGTAAAATAGAACCTAAAACTGACTTTGTTACATTACAACACCATATTGTTATATTGATAAGCAACTATGTAATTCAAATAAGCAAAAATGTAATTCTTGATATCAACAATTGTATTTTCACTAGTGAAATGTCACCATATAGACTGCCATTCAAAACCAATTGTTGATATTCCAAGTTCACAAATTAGAAATACAATTATTACTAGTAAAAACCTTTATTTTTGATATCAAGAATTCAATTGTTACTAGTTGAAATGTCTATTCTTGATATCCACAATTTAATTGCTACTAGTAACAATGATCATTTTTTATATCACCAATTCAATTTTTACTAGTTTTACTATGTTAATTTCTGATATCATGAATGTGATTGTTACTAGTAAGCCATTTTAGATATCTGAAATAATATTGATATCAGAAATAAATTTTCAGATGTCAAAAATTGTCATTGTTACTAGTACCGATTGTTGATATCAGGAATAGACATTTCAACTAGTGACAATTTAATTATTGATATCAGGAATTTGCATTTTTACTAGTAACAATGTAATTATTGATATCAAAAATGATATTTCTACTAGTAAAAAATCTATTCTTGATATCAACAATTTATTTTGAATGCCAGCCTATGGTGAAATTTCACTAGTGGAAATACAGTTACAGATATCAGGAATAAAATTGTTGATATCAAGAATTCATATCCTGGAAATGAATAAAAGCTAAAACGACTTGCCATAAATGTAGTATGTTCATACAACTCACATTTATACTATATAGAACATACTCAAAAACTTACTATAGAAGTTATTCAAAATAATTACCTATTTGAGAGTTTGCGATTTCGGACACAGCCTTTGATGAAAAAACAGCATGCTTGTGTGGTATTGCTTTTCTATATCATATACAAACATTTTTGCTCTCAAATATTGAATTTGGAGGTCATTATACATGTTATTGTTGAGTGACATACTCAAAGTCAGCTTCCACATAGTTAAAACAATCCTATCTGACAGTTACATTATGTTTTTATTGGTACTTCAAGGTCTTTTATCTGTTTAAAGATCCAGGAAACTTTGATTTCTCATAAAATGACTCTTCTAAGCCAGTTTTCTCTTTCTCTTCTTAATCATCATTCTTGCACAAGGGACTGATATGTGCATGTGCAGTTGGCATGGCGACCACCATAAAGTTATCTACGAATAATAGTTTTCTATTGTGAAACTTTTGAAACAGCACAGTCTGTGTGTGTGCTTCAAGAGAAAAGATTCAAAGTTGTCATGGCAATGCTTTATGTGTTCAAAGTCGCCACTAGCTGCTTTCTTTGATTGTCGCACATTGTCAAATAATTTATTTCCCAAGTGTTTTGCCCCAACTTTGCCACTGTGCTGCAATAGATTATTTGTTATCCACATTTTCCCCACATTTTCGTGTTGCTCAAGATGGCTTTGAAATGGGCAGATTGTGAAATACGCCTGACCTCTTCACAGTCTACAAAGATCCATTGTTTTTTTCTGCTCTTTTATGTTTGTACTTGAGAGACATATTTGGCTTTGTGGGCTCCATTGGCAGTGCACAGGAATAAACACATTTAAAGACAGGTACTTTCAGAGCAGCTCAGCCACGGGGATTGGAAGAATGAGTTTGCGTTTACAGCCATGGGCTTTCGAGCCGTGACCTCCACGGACCTCCTCAGAGGCTGTTTGACGTTATATTGAGTTTAAGGTAGTCTAGTATACGACATCAAGTCTAGTTCTCTTTCTCATTCTGGCTTATTTGAGCCTAAAACCACCACTTAGACAGGAAGAGACCGTCTGACTGACATTAAGCGCCCATCCACTGTTCATTTTGTTCCATTTAAGGAAGTCAATCACCCAAAATTGACACTTCAATACGTTCATAAAGAGATTGTAAAATAAATCCATACGAATCAAATGTGGTTTAATCCTTAAGTGTCCTGAAGAGATATGATAGCTTTATATAATGAACACATTTAAGTGGTTCACTTTAAAAAAATGTTTTGCTGATAATTTACTCGCCCCCATGTCATCCAAGATGTCCATATCTTTCTTTCTTCAGTCGAAAAGAAATTAAGGTCCAGGATTTTCTCCATATAATGGACTTCACTGGGCACCAAACGGTTCAAGGTCCAAATGAGAGTTTCAGTGCAGCGTCAAAGGGCTTTTAACGACAAAATGAACAAATCTTTTTTCGAATCATTTCGTTCATTCAACGAACAAAATGAAAAAAAGACTCTAAAAAATATTACTTCATTTTGATGAATGAGTTCGAACAGGAGAGTCACGAACACACATCACAAAGGCAGGATTTGTGCTTATAAAACTTAAACTTTTTTATTTATTTTTGAAATGAGTGATCATTTCGCTAGATAAGACCCTTATTCATCGTCTGGAATCGTTTAAAGCCCTTTGAAGCTGCACTGAAACTCTCATTTGGACCTTGAACCGTTTGGACCCCATTGAAGTCCATTATATGGAGAAAAATCCTGGAATGTTTTCATCAAAAATCTTAATTTCTTTTCGACTGAAGAAAGAAAGAAATGGACATCTTGTATGACATGGGGGCGAGTAAATAATCAGCAAAAGTTTTTTTAAAAGTAAACTCTCCTTTAATTGAGGCTTTTATTCACACACATTGATAAGCAAACACACAAAGAGGATTCAAATATGGTATCAAAGCTCATCCCTCATTGGTTCTCGTGCATCAACAAGCTGAAAAACAAACATACTAAATGAAATGTGTTCATTATATAAAGCGTTCGTGTGATTCGGGTTTCTTTAGAAGACGTAGATTAAACCGCTCAATTTAGATGGATTTCTTTTACGATCTCTTTATGAATGTGTTGAAGCATCAGAGTTTTGGGTGAACAGACTTTAAGTAGAGGAACAGAAATCTCTCATTTGATGAATGAAAGTCTTATTGGTTTGGCAAGACACGAGGGTACGTTACTAATTTTCATTTTTGGTTGATCTATCACTTTAATCTAAAATTGATTAAACCACAGTAATGAAGAAATGATGAATTTTAATAATGACTACAGTACGTCTAACCTTTTTTCTCTGCATTTTATCCTGATCGTGTGTGTGTGTGTGTGTGTGTTTGTGTGTGTAGTCTCTTTCTCAACAGAAGCTGTTAACCTGGCTGTCAGTATTGGAGTATGTGGAGGTTTTCACTGAGATGGGGGCCGCCAAGCTGTGGGGGGACGCTGGACGTTGGCTTGTTATTGTTCTTATTCAGATTGCCAAGTAAGGACCCTGTTTCAGATGTAGTATGCTTATGGTACGGTACGGTACGGTACGATACGCAATTATTTGCGTTTCCACTGTCAAAAGTTGTGAATGGTACCAAAAAGCCAAACCGTACCACTTTTTGGGTACCCTTCCATTGGGGTACCTAGCACAGTGGTACGGTACTAAAAGGTGGAGCTAGACTACCGTCACTTGCGCATGCTAGCGCCATTTTTAATATACATTTGAAATATAATACTACTGTTATTGTGTCACGAAATGTTGTTTTAAGAGTTTTTCAGAAGAGAATGTAGTTTTTTAAAGCTCAGATCTGCGGTTTATTTATAGATTTATGTTAATTTGACTGCGATCCATTCCAAGCAATCACCGGACGCTCGCGCTCGTGTCCCCCGCCTGGAACAGCCTTTCCTTGGCGAGTCGCTCTGATGTTTGCCGCTGACTCCGACGTCTCTGTAGTGGTTAAACATGAGATATAGTTTGTCTTATATAAACCTAACAGGCAATCTTTGGTGTCGTGAATCTATAATTCGTTCCCTGGCCGATAGTTTTGGCAGAAGGCTAAGTGAAGTTTCACATATTTGAGCGCTGAATTTGTATATTTGACTGAATTGTTTGCTTTGTTATTAAAGCTTTTACTTATACTTTTATAATGGCTATTATTGATAAAATGGATTTTTTTTATTTATTTTTTTTATTACAAGATCATCTGTAATGTTGTTTATTGCAACATTTGTACCAATGCGATTTGCAATATATTACATATTGCCTGGAATAGGTTTAATATTTTAAATGTAGTTTTGTTATATATAATATATTCATACGTGCAGTGAATATAATCAATAGGCTATGCGTTGCCTGAACCACATTTGTGTGCTTATAATGTTTAAAATGTGTTTAAATGAAATCGTAAAGAAGCAGAGTGGTGTTTTATAGCATATTTCGTTTTATTGTTGCCTAAAATGTATATACAGAGATAACCGGAGTAGTAGACCGTTCAAGAATGCGCAGAATTACTGGACTCGCATCCTCGGGTATCATTCTCCTGAGTCGGATATTGCGTAGGCTACTTGGTATTGAGAAACGCCTAATGCCAGCGCTTGTTTCTTGTGACAAACATGACGAGAAGCAAGAACAAGATCTGCTGTTATGTCATCCATTGTTGTTTACTACTGTAGTCTATGTCGCTTTCTTCACGCGGAAATGACGTCGATCGCCTCTTTCCCTCATACACCACGCCTATCAAGTAAGGGTACTGTTGGCGGTGGAAAAGCGAGCCGGATCATGGTTTACCGACCCGAAGCGTTCTGTGCTGTACCACACCATACCGTACGGCTCAGTGGAAACGAGCCATTACAGGAGAAGTTCACAAAGAGGACATATCATCATCATCATCGTCATCATTTATGCACCGTCTGTGGAATGTAAAATGTTTTGCGGAATGTTCTGAGTGCACTTTTTCCATTCAGTAAAAGTTCACATGCACTCCAAAACAAGCTTTAAAAAAGGTCCATAACCTTTAAAACAGTCCATATGACTCAAACACCATTTTCTAATATTTCTGAAGCCATGCAATAGCAATAAGTTGTTGTTTTATGAATATTCATATCTGCTGAAGCTCTCATTGACGACAGAATTGTCATGTTCAGTTGTACTAACAGTTAATCGAATTATTGCTGTCTTCATTTCTATCGTTCCAATTCGTCATTCTCTCCTGCGTTTTCAGAGCGATTCTGCGCTGTCTCCTGCTTTTCTGGTACAAATCAGGCATCCAGACATCACCACCTATAATTCCTCTGGACAGGGACTCTCAGCTCTGTAGTCAAGGTGAGATAGACAAGAACCACAGGCAGATTCATATTTCAAAAATATCTAGAAATGTTCAAGACAAACTATTGACTCTTTAACCTGTGGAAGATTTTTATTGAGCTGAATATGAAATAAGCAAGTGTGGTCTATGTGAAAATAGCCATTTTATCCTACAATTATTTCTGATGATCATTCCAGGGCTCTTTAGCACTTGCCCCACCGGCCTCGCTCCGTTCCCGCGGCTCTCGGCCCCGCCCTGCTTGCCACACTCATGTATAATGAACTGAAGTTTCTTTGTGCTACCATCATATGATCTCTTTTTTTACTTAATATACTTTTAGAAACACAATAGTGGCATATATGAAATACATGAAGTGAATGGGAATTTGTTTTTAAGGTTGTCTCTGGGGGTCTTTGGTCATAAAAAATGATAATGTTTTACTTTTTTGGAATCTAGATAGATAGATAGATAGATAGATAGATAGATAGATAGATAGATAGATAGATAGATAGATAGATAGATAGATAGATAGATAGATAGATAGATAGATAGATAGATAGATAGATAGATAGATAGATAGATAGATAGATAGATAGATAGATAGATAGATAGATAGATAGATAGATAGATATTGTTATGCCAAGTTTAGGTTTAATTCCCAAAAGATTTGCAAGAACTGAGAAAATACATTACCTATGAATAAAAGTATGCCAAATGCAAAAATCTAAATATGAAGAGTTCAGATGCAAAAGCCTCTAAGTGCCATTTGAAATTTTCTTCTAGAATGATCATTTTTATTAAGCTTGTATATTTAAGTTCAGTAATTTCACTTAAATGGCAATGATGATTACCTATTAATTGTTATTTTTAGTGAAATTACTGAACTTAAATATACAAGTTTGATAAAAATCATCATTAAAGAAGAAAATTTCAAATGGCATTTAGAGGCTTTTGCATCTGAACTCTTCATATTAACACTATGGTTTCAAATGTAAAAGTCAGAGTTAATTTATAGTTATTTTATACTGCATGACCGGTTGTTAAACCAGCTGAAGTGTGTCTGGAAACCGCCGTGCAGGGCATTCAGCACAGTCACAACAAACAATGAACCCACAACAATAAGCACCAGAACACTCCCGACTGATGACAATAAATAAACCGTGTGTGAGACAATAAGAGCAGTGCATGGCCTGTGCAGATAAACTGTCATTGTGTTGTTGAGTGTAATGTAAGAGCCCATGGACTTGCTGCGGTTTGTCCTTGAAACTGCTCCTGCAGTCAGTGTACTGTGGGTTCTTTATGGCGAAAAGAGTTTTCCTGCACACCGCTCATACGTTGATCTCCCTACACAGAGAACAATACAGAAGAAGATGACGAGGACACGTCTTTCGTGGGCCAGCGTTCAGGAAGAGTGGTCCGTCCACTGGGAAGCGGTAAGACTTTGCAAAAACAGGACCAAAGCATGCAAATCACTGGGAAAAAATGCTCAAATGGGTGATTCCATGAAATCGGTGCCTTTTGCGTCCCTAACAAATAATCAGTTCTAAAGTTGGTTTAACAACAAAAAATTTGAAATTTAAAAAACGTATTCTTACTATAGATCATATGCATCAATATAATACCAAGTAAAAGCCAATAAAATATAATTAAAATCACATATTATATGCTATGGGTAAGGATTTTAGCCTGTCCCTCGCTATGGTTTCAACAGGACTTCTAATTTGTAAAATGTTGGTAAAATTATACAATCAATCAATGTTAAGCAATGGTTTTGACATAAATAGATATATTTTCTTAGAAATATAAGCCAATTTATCATTGTCCCCTAATTTCATATCAGTCCTGTTACTATCACCAAAACCCCCCTATAAAATATGGTATGTTTGAACAACGATTTGTGTACCACCCAGATTGTAACCTTTTCTTACACCATAATGTGCAATGGAAGTGGTGCATTGATGTTTTCTGGTTATTGAATGGTACTAGTCTCAGTAGTTTGAGTTTCATAAACTGTTTAGTGATGCACTGAAATTGTTACATGGTACGTCTTGAGTCATTAAAGCAATCATTACATCTCTCAGTTCAGTCGCATATGTGCAGTATAGGTGATGATGACTTCCAACCAGTGGTGTAGTCTAGTTTTTTGTAGAGAGAATACTGTGATATACCAGCATAGACATGATTTTTAAGCGGTGAGTTCAGTGCCCTTTTAAAAAGGTATTGTTTTTTCTTTTTTTTCTCTCTAGCACCATCATTACAGTCTCGTCTTTGGGGTCTCCCTCAGAAAATGAAAATGAGTAGGAATCAGGAAGAGGATCTCCACTCAAGCCCGACCGCTCTGGGTCTGCAAGAAACCATTGCAGAGTCCCTGTACATCGCACGTCCTCTTGTTCATTGTATCCTCTCTGCTAATTCTCTTTCATGACAATTTTCACAATAATATCCCAGAGTAATATTAGCCCAGGATAGCCGAATTGTTCATTTATTCCCAGGGGTGTGGGAACAATTGGAAAACTCAAGTGGATTCATGAGGATTTTTAAGATGATGGAGATGAAATTGTAAGAATATTTTTTTTTTTTCAGTTTGTCATCCATCATCCTTAACATTTGCTAGTGGCCAGTCTTGGGATTTGCGGAAAACGTTCCTGGAAGCCTTGGATCATCTCTGGTCTCTTAGAGATAACCAGGTACAGAGTGCTTAAGTTTGCTCTCCTCTCTCTTTGCGGTTTTTGTCAGCCTGTCTAAAGATGTAAAGAAGTTCAATCTGGTGCTGTTTTCTGTCCAGTTTCAGTTTGTTGAGTGACATGAAGGCGCTGAACCGAAGAGAGCGCGCTGAGATGAGGAGACGGGCCTTCCTTCTGCTCTACTACCTGCTCCGCTCACCCTTCTATGACCGATACTCTGAGTCAGTGTCGCCTTAATTGTATCCTCTGCTTCAGTGCAGTCTTCTCATATGATATGCTTCTGGTAGTGTTTTGTTCAAATCCATTAAGCTTTAATATTTAATCATTGGTGAGCAACTCCGCACACTGTAAAAAAATATTGTTGTTTTAACTTAAAATATTAAAGTAGCCTGGTTGCCTTAAAATTTTACATTGATTGAACTGGAAAAATTGAGTCAATACAATGAAGGAGATTGATTTAATCATCAGAAACTCAAAATAATAAGTTATCTGAACTAAATAAATTATTTAAGTTCATTTGACAAAAGAAAAAATGTTGTGATAACAAATCTTAAAAATATTGTTTTTTGCTACGAACATGAATGATTCCTCAAATTGTGCCGTGTTTGAAAGGACGTTCTGTTTTCTAGGCAATCAAATTTTCATCTGACAGACAATGAAATTGGTCAAATAAAATCTGATCTAGGCTTAGCAACCACTCAGAACACCCTAGCAACCGATTAAGGCCTGATATACTAACTGCGAAGTTTCCGTTGTTCGCTTTTGGGGTAAAAATATGTTTGCATACGATACCTTTGCAGCGATATACTGTTAGCGAATGTCCTGATGCCGATCATTTAGATGAAAATAGACACTTTTGTACTGTTTTTTTATCGACAAAGTAAATATACGATAAAAAAGAGTGCGAAATTTGCTGTTTCCAAGACAATTGGAATTCGGCAGTTTACTGCTTACCATTTTCACGTATAATAAGCCTATTACTAAATTAGGAGATATTAGGTCATCAAAAATCACTGCGGAGTGGGACAGCTTGTCTGACAGGACTGCGTGTAACAGCCTTTATTTGATGAGCCCGGTGGGTTTGGACACAGGGCCTATGCACAATTTTAGGATCCATAAAAAATATTGGTACAGTCAAACGTTTGGTCATATAGAAGCGATCTTTAAAGGGATATTTCACTTTGAAATAAATTTTTGGTATGTTTTAGCTTACCTCAAGGACATCCAAGGTGTAACTCGTACACATCGATGGCCTAAGACACGAAACGAACGGTTTGTGTGAGAAAACAAGCAGTATTTATATCGTTTTTACCTCTTGTAACCACAGCCACGTCCATCTGATATGAGGTGCTTTGTGGCTATGGTAACAAGAGGTAAAAACGATATAAATACTGTTTGTTTTCTCACACAAACTGCTCATTTCGTGTCTTAGGCCATCAATGTGTACTTACATTTACAAGTCATTAAATCGTGTTTAATTTGGACTTCTCTGTGCATGCTCTTTGAGGTGGTGACCATAGACCTCCATTATATGACTGACAGACAAGAACGGTTTGACCTAAAAATATCAAAATTGAAAATACTGTGGAAACAAAGACACCTACATCTTGGATGCCCTTGAGGTAAGCTAAAACATACCAAAAATTAATTTCAAAATGAACTATCCCTTTAACATAAGCATGCTGAATATGCTAATTATGTCACGTGACACCACATTAAGCCCTTTTTCTCGACAAAAAGCGTTTCCAAATTAATTTTGCTGCACGCTTTCCTCCCAATCACAAAATAAACATAAATGACAGCGGTGAGAAAACATCGGTAAAGAAAGCATCGGCATCAATTGGCCAAATCCATTTCATTTGGATTGTAAGGGGTGGTTTAAAAACCTTTTGTAATCCGATCGAGAGGACATGGGTTGGCTGTGGAAAGAGGCGTTTGATGAAATAGAAGCAGCACTGCTCAACAATGCTCATGCTTCGAACTTCACACAAACTTTGTTTTGGCCTGATTTTGCTCAAAATGAAGTCATGCCAGTTCATCTTCGATTTTTATTTATTTATTTATTTTTTAACCGTCATCTATCTAGATTTCGCAATGCACACCCTTCTGAATAATGGGGCATTTTGTTCCCAGATCTAATGTCTCTTTTCTACTCACAGGACGAAGATTCTCTTCCTCCTTCGCTTCTTGGCAGATTATGTTCCCGGAGTTGGTTTGGTTGCACGTAAGTGGCGTATCCATCTCACCCAATGGATGGTCAATGCTGTCACACTAAAAGCTTTAAAAAAGCTCAGAGATATGTGCTGACTGGATTTCTTTTCCTGTCCTCTCAGGTCCGCTGATGGAGTACTTGCCCATTTGGCAGAAGATCTACTTTTATAACTGGGGCTGACGTCAAGGTCTGCGCCGCCAAAAAAAAAAAAGTAGAGAATAAGAGGAAGCCATTTGGAGGATGCTACAGCGACAACAAGGACTCAATCACACCTGTGCCAGAACATTACCACATTTATTGAGGAGGTTTGTAGTCAGTCAGTAACAGATGCACTGCTGGTCTCTGAGATATGGATATATAAATTGTCCGATTGCTGTTTTTCTTATCTCTTTTAGCTTTCACATAATTTTATGCATCTGAGCCTTTTTTCCACCACATTTTATGCACTTATAAACATCTGTTGTCAAATGAATGTTTTGGCCAAACTTCAAGCTCTCTCATCTCGTTATCTATCCCTAATCATGAATGCCTTCTTTCTAATTTAGATGGTTCATTCCAGGGAACGGTTTTATTGACCGGCTGAAATGAATTAAACAGTCTTTCTCTGTTTCTGTCTGATTCATCCTCAAGAGTTTTATGGCATGGATGGGATGAAGCTGAATCTGATACTTTTAATTGTTGCTACATTTGCTCATTAAATGGAATAATCCGTCAATGATGAAGGTCCACTGTTGTTTCACAGGACTCCAATGAGACTTTGGTATCTAAACCAGCATAATGAGCGTGTTTTTACACTGTGAAAAAACGAGTCTCTGTTTGAAAGCCCATCATGATTTTGTTTGAAAAACCTGCAACAAAAATGAAAAGCATGACTTTTTTGAAATGCTGATAATTGGTTTTGTATATACTTCTGTGCATTTAATAAATCTTTAAATAATAAGAGTCCTCATGCCTCAAGTGTTTTCCATCAGAGAGCAGAATTTATAATGCTGCTAAGAGCTACTTGTACACATATTGGCCATAACTCAAAGTCTGGTCTCGCCGTGTGTTTTCATTCAGCTTTTCAAATCAAGGTTTGAATTAAACATAAATGTGATGTATGTCTCGGCTGTAGTGTATATGCTCATGAAAAAATCCCTGAACTACAGTATCAGCAATGCTGAAGATGATAAACTGCTTCCGGAAGAAAGGCAAAAAAAAAATGTCCTCTTGGTCCTCAGAGCTAGGAACAGCCAAGCTATCCATTATACGTCCCTGTGGGGTGGAAAAAAGACATCTCTCTTGAATTGTGCCCCTAGATATTCACCTATCTCCTAGTGCAATTTATCTATCTCTTTCACTCTTTTATCTTTATGCTGTGTGCGTATATTCTGGGGTTTATCTGATCCACCAGTGGTTTTGTAGGTTTGCATATAACATACTGGTGTATCCTGTCTAACCACTGTATACAGTAATTAGTATATTAAATTCTAAAGCCTTTTCACCACCAGCAAATTACCATCCATGTTGGGATGGGATCAATATCTAAATCAATTTTAAAACAATTAAACCTTTATAGAGTTCATTAATCATGCCTAGAATTGATTTTCTGATAGAATGCATTTGCTTTTGTTGTTTCCTATAAATTATTTTATTGACACAAATGAATAGATGTACAGAAACACACAGGTGTGTCAAGTATATACAGTGCCTTCTGGGCCACTTCAAATTTAGCTAAGGAGCATTCCAATTTCGCTTGTAGAGTACACCTCGAGTGGAGTTCATCTGTGCAAATTCAATTGAATTGATATGATTTGGAAAGGCTCACACCTCTTAATAAAAGGTCTAATGGCTTAAAATGCTTATCTTGGCAAAAACCAAGCCATGCGGTCAAAAGAACTGCCTTAAAGCACAGAGACAGGATGGTGTCAAGACACAGATCTGGGGAAGACTTCACTTCAGACACTTCATTTTAAGGTGACGTAGGTACTTTGGTACTACATGTACTTACTGTAATAATACCAGTAATTAATTAACCCTAAACCAAACCCTAACTGTGAGTACATGTAGATAAAGGAGTAGTTCACTTTTAAAAAAAAAAAACCTGATAATTTACTCACCCCCGTGTCATCCAAGATGTCGAAAAGAAATTAAGGTTTTTGATGAAAACATTCCAGTATTTTCTCCATATAATGGACTTCATTGGGAACCAAAGGTTCAAGATCCAAATGAGTGGCGTTTAAAGCTCTTTGAAGCTGCACTGAAACTCTCATTTGCACCTTGAACCGTTACCTTCCAACAGGACAATGACCCTGTTCCTGAATACAGCTAAGACAATATAAGAGTAGCTTATGAACAACTCTGTGAGTGGCCCAGCCAGAGCCCGAACTTGAACCCAATCGAACATCTCTGGAGAAACCTGAAAATGTCTGTCCATTGACGGTCCCCATCCAACCTGACAGAGGAAAAGAATGGCAAAAAAAAGCCAAATGCAGATGTGCAAAGCTTGTCGCATCATACCCCCAAAAATGTGAGCCTGTAAGTGCTAAGTACTGAGTTAAAGTGGACCTATTATGCAAATTTCACTTTGAAATGTGTCAGCAGTGTGTAGGCTACGCATCCACCCTATAATGGTTAAAAAAAAATCCACCCACTCCAATTTTTTAAAACCCCCATTATAAATTATAATCAGTGTCTCAGAACAAGCCGTTTGCAGATTTGTAGCTTTTATGATGTGATGCCCACAACTTCTATCAGAGACCCTGCCCTGAGTGAATTGTACACAGTCCGCCATGTTGATCTCCTCGCCAGAGCATTTAACAGCAGCATTCAAGAAAGAAATGGATTCTTATTAAAGCTAAGTTATTTCAGTCAAGATCTATTCTTGACTCTGCAGACTATCTATTCTAGTCTGTATGTCTGTTTTTTTTTAAATTAACTTAGCAGTTAAAACACTAATATTGCTTGTACAACGATAGGCTACATGAACACTTCTGCAATATGAAAAATGTAAATTTAATTTGAGCTGGCATCCATTCTAATCATTTTCTCCCTTATTATTTTTAATACAGCTTCTTACCAAGAAAGAAAAGAAAGTAACTTTTACAATCTTGCTTTTCAAATCGACATCCCACTCTAACATTATTATAATGCTGAAAAGTAAGCACTGGTTTTGTAAAACATAATTAATTTATGCTTTATTTATGGTTGCATTCTTTTTAATTAATAGTGACGGTTACATAGGCTATTGAACTGATAAACTACTGTTTGTTTGGTAAAGCAGCCATATAAAACTAGTTATGGGAGGAGCAGGAGACGTACAGTACAGGGTTGTTTTGTCTGATAGTCTGGATACAGTGAGTGCGTGCGCGAGCTCTAATGTCATAGTAAGTACATGCGTCATTTTGTGACCTTTTTGTGACCATTTTTTGCTTTTTACATTAAGCACAGGCTATTAAACAGGGAAAAGCTATTTTGGTTAAGTAAATCAATATGAATATGTCTCTGAGTGCTTGTGTCGTAGTTGTGTGCCGTTTCAAGTAGCCAACTTTGTATCGACGTTAGCAGGACAAATTCAGTTTGGCTAGATTTGTTATATTTTTATGTTTAGTAACGTTACACTTTTTATGTTTGCTGTGGAATGCTAAAAAGAAGTTCCTCATGTGTTTGAAACCATTTTTTCCACAGACTCACAGGGCAGTTAAACATGTTTATGCATGTTTTTCGTTAGCGTCATGTAGTGGAATACGTTTATTTGTGGTGTAACAGTTAATATTTTAACTTTCACCGCATGGAAAAGTCAGCATAAAATGGGAAACTTCATGGTGGGTCATTTGGTGGTTTCCGCTGATTATTCGCCCCATCCTGCGTCTGTCACGACAGCACACACACTTACTGAGAGTAAACTAACACAAACCACACAGATGCACACTGTGAAGCCTGTGCTTTGGTAATATGGTAACCATAGGCATAACACATTATGATACGTAACATCTATTAAGAATACTAGGTTATAATGTAGCCTACCTACGTCTATGAACACTAACGTAACTATCCTTTTTTATAAAACATTTTGAGTTTGGTGCATTAAAACACACAATCATCAGTACATTTCACGTGTTACATCACAGACCAATTTTTCTCCACAGGTGCAGTCATGATCATAAGTAAAGTTTAAATTCCATACACAATAATAATACTGTTACAGTTCAAATGTATAATGTAGTGCAATGTGTATTCTATGGCATTAGGAAAACCTTCAGAATGCTTAATAAATAGAAAACATGTGCATGTTTTTTTCGCTCCCATCTGATAAATATAAGTACACTTATATTTATATTAAGTGACTTTACTTATATTCTCTCTCTCTCTCAGAGTATATAAAATGAGTGAGGATGTGTATGAGGTCCCTGAGGGGACGGAGTATCGTTATCTAGTGCAGGACGAAGAGGAGGAACAGATAAGGTACGTCCGTCGCCACTACGTCAGTCCATTCCGGGCAGTGTCACGCAGATGCATGTTCCTCATCGGCTGCGCCGTGGTCGGTCTCCTCTCTCTCGCGGGATACCTGGCTTATGTGGCGAAGACTCCTCCTCCAGGGGTGGCAGAGGTGAAGACGGACTGCGGTTGGATGCGCGGGCGCTGGGAAGGCGGAGCGTACTCTTTCAAGGGCATCCCGTACGCTGTACCGCCAGTGGGTGAACGTCGTTGGCAACCTCCGGCGGATCTAGTGGAGGCGGGAAAGTGTTGGCACGGCATGTACGATGCTACTCGATTCCGCAGCATCTGTGCGCAGGTGCAACCCCTCCGGAAAGATGGGCAGGTCATGGGACAGGAGGACTGTCTGCATCTCAGCGTGTGGACTCCGAGTCTAGAGCCCGCGAAACCCCTGCCCGTCATGGTGTGGATCCACGGAGGGTACCTCCACATGCTGAGCGGCCAGGAGAGAGGCTACTCCCCCACTGAAGAGTTGGCGGCCCGCACGCAGACGGTGTACGTCAGCCTGAATTACAGGCTCAATGCTTTCGGGTTCATGGCCCTGGAGGTGCTCAGAGAAGGCTCTCCCACCAACTCCTCAGGTAAGGCCCCGTCCCTGTCCAGTTCACTAATGACTGCTGTCCATCTCGGACACTTTCGTTCAGTTAAAGGAGTAGTTTACTTTTGAAAAAACTTGCTGATAATTTACTCACCCCCATGTCATCCAAGATGTCCATGTCTTTCTTTCTTCAGTCGAAAAGAAATTAACGTTTTTGATGAAAACATTCCAGCATTTTTCTCCATATAATGGACTTGAGTGGGAACCAAACTGTTCAAAGTCCAAAAGACGGTTTCAGTGCAAACTGCTAACTGTTCAAAGGGCTTTAAATGATTCCAGACGATGAATAAGGTTCGCTCATTTAATAAATAAATAACAAAGTTTAAGTTTTATAAGCTCAAATGGTCGTCTTGCTCTGTTCTGTGATGCACCTTTGTGACTTTCCTGTTCGAACTCGTTCATCAAAATGAACAAATCTTTTTCCGAGTCATTTCGGAACTTTGTTTGTTTTTTTGTTTTTTTTTAAATGAGCGATCGTTTCGCTTGATAAGACCCTTATTCATCGTCTGGAATCCTTTAAAGCCCTTTGAGCAGCTTGCAATTTGTACTGAAACTGTCTTTTGGACCTTCAACCGTTTGGTTCCCAATGAAGTCCATTATATGGAGAAAATCCTGGAATGTTTTGATCAAAAAACTTAATTTCTTTTCGACTGATGAAAGAAAGACATGGACATCTTGGATGACATGGGGGTGAGTAAATTATCAGCAAAAGTTTTTTGAAAAGTGAACTAGTCCTGTAACTACTGACAACATATCTTCATATCAATTAAAAATATTGTAATTTAGAGCATGTATTTGCAGAAAATGACAACTGGTCAAAATAACAAAAAACATTCTATGTTTTTAGGCCTGGAATAATGCAAAGAAAACTAGTTTATACTCATTTGTTTTGAAATCAATATGTTGTGGAAAACCCCAGATTTCCAATCACAGCTGTCATGCGTCTTGGCATGTTCTATACCAGTCTTTCACGTTGATGTTGGGTGACTTTATGCCACTCCTGGCACTAAGATTCAAGCAGCTCGGCTTTGTCCGATGGGCTTGTGTCCCTTACTCTTGATCACGTTCCAGAGGTTTTCAATGGGATTCAAGTCTGGAGATTGGGCTAGCCATGACAGGGTCTTGACCTTTTTTGGCCTGGCTGTGTGGCATAGAGCATTGTCCTGCGAGAAAACCCAATCATTGTAATTGGGGAACATTGTCAGACTCAGAGCAGAAGAAAGCTATTTTTCTTCCAGGCTAACCTTGTACTGTACGTGACTTGAGTCATACATCCTTCAAAAAGACGGATCTGTCCGAGTCCAGCCTTTCTGAAGAACCCTCAGATCATCACCGATCCTACACCAAATTTCATGGAGGGTTCGACTCGAGTGACTGTGGGTTGTTGGCTTCTCCAGATCTCTGTCTAACCATTAGAGGACCAGGTGTTGTGCAAAGCTGAAAACTAAACTCATCAGAGAATATCAGAATCAGGCACATCTGTCTTTGTGATGGACGCTTGACTCAAGCCACACACAAGGTTATCCTGGGCAATGTAGATTTTCATAAAAAATCCAACTTTTAAACATGATTATTTTAAAAATAAGTTGAGATAAGACGTCAACAAAAGCATATACCATCGATTAACAACCTCAGGTCTCACAGTAGGTCTCTCTTCAAAGATTTATAAGTTATTTTCTTATGGACTCTCTTCTTGTCACTACAGCATATTGAAATTCATCAAAAGTTTTTTTCTGTCTGCTGTCAAAGGGAATTATGGCTTCATGGACCAGATCCAAGCACTTCAGTGGGTCCAACGGAATATCCATAACTTCGGTGGGGATGCAGGGAGAGTTACCATATTTGGTCAAAGCTCAGGTACAACATACAATGAATGACCCCTCAAAGTATTTGGACACTTAAAATGTCTGTTTGTCATTGCAAAATCCTGTACCCTTTACTTAGAATGTGTTATTATAACGACGACATGTTGCTAAAATTAAAGAAGTTGTTAACATATTTCATATTATACTCATTTGTTTTGTCTTCAAGCTATATTTTTACTTTATATCTGGAAAATATTTACTTTCAAATAAGTTAACAGTACTTTTTTTTTTTACACTGACCCAAGGGTTTATTCATGTGTAAACCTTTATTTATTTTTTTCTAAATGTTAAATGTGCTGTCAGAATAAAGCCAGTAATCATGATCTGAACTCAATCCCAACCAAAAATAATTAAACCTTACCGTAAATGTGTTAAAAACTACTATGCTAAATTTATTTCATTATATCTTAAAGGAGTAGTTCACCTTTAAAAAAACTTTTGCTGATAATTTACTCACCCCCATGTCATCCAAGATGTCCAAGTCTTTCATTCTTGAGTCGAAAAGAAATTAAGGTTTTTGATGAAAACATTCCAGGATTTTCTTCATATAATGGACTTCAATGGGAACCAAACGGTTCAAGGTCCAAATGAGAGTTTCAGTGCAGCTTCAAAGGGCTTTAAACGACACCAGACGGTCTTATCTAGCGAAACGATTGGTCATTTCAAAAATAAATAACAAAGTTTAAGTTTTATAAGCACAAATGCTCGCCTTTCTGTGATGCGCGTTCGTGACTCTCCTGTTCATCAAAATGAACAAATCTTTTTCCGAATCATTTGGTTCATTAAACAAATGAAATGACTCGAAAAAAAGATTTGTTCATTTTATGATATGAGTTAGGGTTGCATAATGTATGGTTTTAGCATTTTTATTGCGATGTGCGCATCCGCGATAGTCACACGAAGTTGATTCGTGATCCCTAAGGAAAAGGCCCCATGGTCCGAAACGCACACGATTCGTAGATTAAAGGGATACTTCACCCAAAAATGAAAATTCTCTCATCATTTACTCACTCTCAAATTGTTCTGCTGAACACAAAGAAAGATATTTGGAAGAATGTTTGTAACCAAGCAGATCTCAGGCCCCATTGACTTCCATAGTATTTTTTCCCTTAAGATTTACTAGTGCACACTCAATATAATTAAGTGCACTTCTTTTTCACAAGGGTTAGCTTTACGGATGTATAATAAGTATCTCTCTCACTGTGTGATCACGAGGAGGAACTTCGGTTTGGACTTTGATGATGTCCCCACTAGCCAAAGGACTCTTTCATCGTGCGATTGACATGAGCGGCTCGTATGTGTATAATGCTTCCCTGGAGTCAGCGGAAAAAGACAACTTGGAGTTCCTGAGAGAACTGGCTGCAAGGACGCCATCTGCCTGAGAGGACTACACATCGCTCAAGTCCTTCAGGTGAGAAATTTATGGCCGAGCTTGTAACCTTCCACAGCAGAGTCATGGCTGACTAACAACAGCCTCAACCTGTTGGCTTCTTCATCCGTAAACGCTCTTTAATAAATCACCGAACCTCAACTTCCTGCCAGAACTCACCGAACGCTCAATGAATTCCCAATGAACATCAGAGGAAGGGCTTTAATTTTTCTAATGGCAGTGATATATCAGAAATGGACTTGTGGTTGAATTAATGTCAGTGATTTGTATCTGACTCAGGCGATCCCATGGCAGAAGTACCCATCATGGGCAGCCGATGACTTGGTCGATCTTCCAGCCAAAGGTATATTTGTTGGTCCAGTTGCTGTGGTTGACGGCCATGTTCTCAAAGCTCCTCCGTTTGAGACCTGGGAGAAAGGAGGAGCCTATAATGATGTCCCGTTTGTGGTTGGAACAACTGAACAGGAGACTGATTTTAGGTAACCTGCTTTGTTTGATTTTCAGTCGTAAGTTGTAAAATGAAAATACTGTCAGGAATGTGCGCCATTCAGAATTGAGCCGAGAACTTCTTGAAATCCCAAATTGAGTTCATGAATTGGAATTTAGGTTCAAAGAAATATAGAAGTCTTTTAATTGTAATTTTGTAACTATTCATTACAATTCGTTATACAATTCCCATAAACGTTATCATACACAACATGGAGAATTTCCAGCAACATTAGATAGTATTTGTAATCACTGTTTGAAATACCACCTATAGAAATTTGTATTTAATGTATTATTTAGTTATAATTATTTTATTAGAATTATAAAACATCTATTAATATATATATATATATATATATAGTAAAAATAAATCTTATAATTATTAGTTGATGAATTAATTAAATTCTTCTAATGCAATTCAGTGAATTTTTTTTTTTAAATTTGTCTTCCTGTCATGCCTAGTCAACTTCTGTAATTGCATCAAACAAAAAGTTGTTTACATAATATGCTGTGTATATATATTATTAAATATATATATTTACACACGAATATGCTGTATACTGCATATGTGTATGAATATGTGTGTGTGTACATACAGTATACTGTATACACACATAGACATATATAATATACATATAAATGTAATAATATATATAGACACACATTATGTAAACACAAACTTTTATTTTAGATGCGATTCATCCCAAATAATCGATTTGACAGCACTAATATATCATCATTCTCTAGTCCTCCGTATGAAAACATCTCCACATGGACATGGGGGGACTATCGGTGGATTGTGACGAGTAAGTCGCTCATCACAGACATTTAAAAATACAACATTATGACTGAAAGTCTTTATATAAGTGAATGTGTTTTCCTTCATACAGACAAACTGAGCCCTTTCGGAAAGAGCCTGAGCGATCAGGCGTTGAGGCTGTACAATAGTTCAGCACCGTGTCCGACCTCTGACCGCTGTCCAGAGAGACTATTCACCACCATGGTCTCGGACATGAAGGCCACATGCCCCAGGAACGACCTGGCTAAGAGAGCTGCAGGTTCAAATGAATTTTTCATTTTACAATTAAAGGCAATTGAGCTTTATTAGCACTGTAAATATTGTATCATTTGTGAGCTCCAATGAATATTTCATGCTAAGTGGCTGTGTAATAAGCAGGATAGCGTACAGTCATAATTTCAAAATAAACTCCTTCAGGATGACACAAGACCGCTCTGCCATTGACTGTACATTATGCTTAACTATGTCTGTCTTATTTTCCAATGATGTCACGTGTATTCCAGGCGCTTTAAAGAGCCCAGTGTACCGTTATCTGGTGACTTACACTCCATCAAAACAGGCAAACACCTCCGGCTTGCTTCCCTTCCCCAGTCGCTTTGCCTTTCATCTTCTAGACATCTTGGGCTTCTTCAGGGGTCTTGAAATGGTGCTAGGGACCCTGTCACCAGCTGATATGAACTTCCAGGAAATGATCACCAAGTACTTTGTACATTTTGCTAAAGAAGGTAAGCTTATTGTGAGATTTTCCATTATTATAGCACAGCACTAGTTGAAGAATCAAGCAGGTTAGATTTACTACTTTATGATACATACAGTACACCACTATTTAAAGGGACACTCCACCCATTTGCATTAAGCTTTCCATTGTTAGAAATCCAGTTGTAGACGAGAGAAATCTGCTATTTACCTTTTTCACTTCCTCCTACAATGACGAAAAAATCGTCATTTTACGTCTTTGGAGGAGGAAGTGTAAGAGGGGGGGGTTTCTGTAAAGATTACAAGCACTAGATCCCACCCTTTCAAACCTGCCCATAGGGGGTTGGGCCTAATGCGTGAACAGACCTATCACAGATCAGTGCCAGTGCGATTGATTTCACCGGCAGAAATGTTTTGAAAATATGGATGAAGGTCCTGAATACGCAGACGGATGCATTATGGATAGGGTTGGGTACCGAAACGCGGTGCCAATAGGGAACCGGTACCGTCGTAAAGGGTAACCAGACCGAATAAGAATGAAACCTTTGTGTAATAAGTTTGAACCTGCTAGTTTTGCAGTCTAGAGCGGGCAAGTAATTTTTTTAGCAATCAAAAAGCATGTCTAATTAATTGAAATCATGTATTATTAAGTTTTTTATATATATATATATATATATATATATGTGTGTGTGTTTATGTCATGATGATAGTTTCTCAAATGAAGCGGTTAAATGATCACGAAGTGACTTTCAGAGTGGATCTAGAGCCTGGAGAGGAAGTTCAATCATTTCTGTCTTCATATAGGCATGGTAAATGAAATATGTGTGGTAAATGAAATGCGCGTCGGCATTCACACGGCAAGCAGGATTCATATTTAAATAGCCTTTTTGGTTTAATATTCACACACACTAATCTACATCGCAATTTGATTTCAAGCGTATTGAACCGCTTTCTATTTAGTCGTTTTGGGGGGGTGGCCCGCTGCTACTGCATATATGACCCACTTTCAAAACATATTCACGTGGAATTATCCTTTAAAGGTTTGGAGTCAGTACAAGTTTTTTTGGTTTTTTTTAAGAAAATAAATTATTGGTGCATCCATTGGATTTATTTTGGTCATACCAATTTTAGCAAACAACTACTGGCCAATTCCGATACCGACGTAACTTTTGTCATTAAAATAAATTAGTGTTTTGATTGTTTCAAATTAGCAACGTTTAAAAAGGTATACTAGATAGTTTATTGCTGCATCATCAAAGTGGTACCAATGGTGCGAGGTACTAATAAATAGGTTTTTTTTTTTATGTGTGTCTGAATAATATGATCAAATCTTGCCCATAACGATCCAAACCTCTTCATGACGTCACAGGTAGGATGCCGGACGAGTGGCCGGAGTTCCCCTCAAGCGTCGCCCTGTTGGACAGGAACGTTTCTTTCGTGGTAAACTACTCTCAAGAGAGGTGTGACCTGTGGGAGCAGAACGACTTCTACTCGTACGCCTGGATCAACTGAGCCTCACCATCATCACTGGTTGTATCGATCCATCCACTGCATTTTCATCTGACTGTGTGACATGAGCAAAGCTTTACTGTGTCGACACATTCACAGAGTATGGGGTGGATATCCAGGAAAGTAGGTGTTTCCAAGCTCGCAGAGATCTCTTCAATGTCTCAATTTCTTTCTCCTAGAGAGCAACGAGATTAAATCGAACTCAAATGGAGACTCGGGTCTTTCTAATGGGGAAAGATCTCAGACTGTGATCAAAAGTTCGAGACCATGATATGAATTTAAAACTTTCTAATCCAAAATTTCCAAGGCTATTTTATAGATGTTTTTTTCTTACTTTATGTCTACATGTCGTTTTTTTATTTTTGTAAAAAAAAAAATAACCAAACCATCCATCCCCTAAGCTGTGAATTGAATTTGCGAATCCGAAGGCTGTTTTAAGCCATAAATCCCCATTATTCAGGTTTTTTCTTTGTTTGTTTGTTACACTAATCGGCTCCATTCATATATTTACGGAGTATAGCCAGTCTGCTTTCTAACCTGTTATTCTTTGGTTGTGTGACTAAGTAAATCCAAAGCTTTGACATGGATGAGAAGCCAGGGACACAATGAGGGCCTAGAAAGGGATTTAATGCGGCTCTCTTTTAATTTAACTGCTATGCAAATAAGACTTACGGTTACATTGATCTTTGGTTTGTTTGTAGATGCCCCCGCTATCGAGGGTGACACTTATGTGTGTTTTTGTACCTGTGATCAAAGGGTCTTTTCCCACTCCTGAACAGACTTTGCAATCAAGGCCTCACACAACCTGGAGCACTACCAAACTAAATCTGATCCAGGAACAGTTGTGTTTTATAACACAGACCCATTTGCCTTGCATGGCTGAATGAATGGAGAGGTCATAGGTCACCCTGCCCCTGTACAAACGGATAAAAGGTGTCCACATGAAAGCCCTGACCCATAGACTTTTCTTTAACCCTATAAAGCCTGATATAAAGTAATATTCTGAAAAGGGTACACTATTGTGTTGGTTTTATGGCTCATATGATACAGGAGAAAATGAAGCCCATACTCACCCGTGAAAAAACACCCAATTTTCTCAATTCAGAGGCCAAACTGAGCAAAAACATGCAATTTGCTGTGATTGTTGCTGTTTATATGAAATTCTGATAGCTTATAATGTAAATCAATGAGATCTTTGAGAACAGTAAAACAGACTACTTGCATATCAGTTCCTCTATATTTCCAAATAATAATTTTTAAATGCTTTTTAAATAGTTTTTATGGTGGTGGGCAAAACACATGATTGGGATGTACAAAAATAACACTCTTCTAGAGATTGTTGTATCATATTTGGTTCATTTTAACATGATTCTTAAATGATTGTGTATTATCAAGTTGCTTCAGTCCAGTAAGTGTTCATCTTGAAATATTACTAACAATATAAAACATATTATGGTTGCTTTAAAATCAGTAAACATTTCACAGCAAAAAGACACGTCGTTTACAATCATACTCTTGCTAAAAAAAAAAAGTATAAACTGTCAATCAGATGACAGAAGGCAAAAAGTAGAAGATTGTGTACATAGTTTAGTACAAAATTTAGAAGCCTTAAAGTAGTTCACTTTTCAAAAAACTTTTGCTGATAATTTACTCACCCCCATGTCATCCAAGATGTCCACGTCTTTCTTTCTTCAGTCGAAAAGAAATTAAGGTTTTTGATGAAAACATTCCAGCATTTTTCTCCATATAATGGACTTCATTGGGAACCAAACGGTTCAAGGTCCAAAAGACACTTTTCAGTACAAACTGCAAACTGTTCAAAGGGCCGAATCTTTTTCCGAGTCAATTCGTTCGTTGAATGAACCAAATGACTTGGAAAAAGATTTGTTCATTTTGATGAACGAGTTCGAACAGGAGTCACGAATGTGCATCACAGAACAGAGCAAGGCAAGCATTTGAGCTTATAAAACTTAAACTTTGTTATTTATTTATTAAATGAGCCATCGTTTCACTTGATAAGACCCTTATTCATCATCTAGAATCGTTTAAAGCCTTTTGAACAGTCTTTTGGACCTTGAACCGTTTGGTTCCCATTGAATTCCATTATATGGAGAAAAATGCTGGAATGTTTTCATCAAAAACCTTAATTTCTTTTCGACTGAAGAAAGACATGGACATCTTGGATGACATGGGGGTGAGTAAATTATCAGCAAAAGTTTTTTTCAGAAGTGAACTACTCCTTTAAAAATGTGCATATTAAATGATACTTTAGGCTTTATAGTGTGGGTTAACACTTTGTACTCGGTCTGAATGAACTAAATACCACTCGTTTGTTTTGCACTTTATCTGTAATCCTTATGTGATAAAATGATTGTGTTGGACTGAATCAAAGTCTTAAACAGCTGTTGTGGGGATTTAATTCTTTATTCACATAATTCTCAACAGGCCACAATAAAAAGCTTTAATTCCAGGCGGTCGATGGATTGTTGTTCTTTATTTTTTAAACTTAGCAAATACCATCCACCAGTTCCCAGTCCGACATAAACCCAAAAGAAGAGGAAAGAAAGGCTGTAATGTACTAGAAAACAGACATCACATCAGTGGGTGAATTTTAAAGTCAGCTTTCGTTTTATCATCCAAACTGAGAGTCTTATTAAATTAAACTTTAAACCTCCTCGGTTTCTTGAGCAGTTTATCTGTAAATACGACGAGTGAATGCTGGCAATCTGACTCGTTGTACAGCACCAGTGTCCACGGCTTATGCTGGCATGCAAAACAAACATAATTCAGGTTCAAAATAATCAGTCCTGAAACTCAAACTCCCAGGCATCACTCACACATCCACGAAAACAACTCAAGAACTCGTCCTTGACATGCGAGGACATATTGCACAATGTTACTGTTATTTTATCACTTGACTCACTCAAACTTTCTCATAATTACGAACAATGTAAAATGATGATAATGCATCGCGTATTTAGGAAACGAGCTCAATTTATAAATATGCCACATGGGGTTTTCCTTTCATCGTTGTTTACTGAATGCACTGAGGTCTCCGGACTCGGAGAGCGTTAAAATACAAAAAAAGAAAGCCATTAGAACGTATTAGCACTATAAATTCAGTTATACATTTAATTCCAGACAGAATACTTTCAAATCCATAACTATTTGAAATCAAAGACCAGTACATGGCATAGAAAACAGAACTGTTGTTTTAAACAGAAAGCACTGTGACTCTGAAAACAGACTTTACACGGTCAAGCGCTTCTGTTGATATCTGAAAATAAAAAAATAAAAAGAAACAGAAAATAAAATACTGTCAACAAGAGTCTACAGTGGTCTGGGGGAGAGAGCGGGAGTTCCCAGGTCTTCGTCTTGCTCTCTCACTCCCTTCTCTCTCTCTCTGATGTGTGTGTTCATGTAGGAAAGACAGACCAAATCCAATCAGCAGTGAGGCGTGTCCTGTTTGATGCAACTTCCATATCATTCGAATGCATTCCTTTCAGTAAGATCCGTAGCGATCCTGAAACGTGTTCGGAGAGAGTTAATAACAGCTGACGTACAACCAACAAGTGTTAAATCAGAATCGGAATGCGTCCATTCACCTGAATGGTGTTCATAACCCCATTAGCCAGCACTGCCATCTTGCCTGCCACAGTCTTCACACCTTGCTTGAACTGGGCGATGTCTGGACCAGAGGGAAGCACGTTATCGAATCCTGATGAGCCTACGGGGACAACACACACTGAGCGTCGCGGTCAAAGACTCACTACGGTAACATGGCGGGATGGAGAGGGATGTGTTTACCAGAGGAACGCACACTGCCGTCACCAAACAGGTCAGCAGAGCTGATGGAGGTACTTCCGGACATGCCCTCGAGACGAGTCTTTGCTTCATACTAGTAGAGACATTACATACAGTATAAGTATTTCTCCATATTCTTTCTTGAGTTAAATATGATACATTTTTAAATACACAAATAATTTACATAAAATTGTAGGGGTGGGAATCTTTTGGTACCTCACGACTCAAATCAAATTCAAATGTGCGCATATATTTGATTGTAGTTTACCGTTACTAGCCCTTGCCTTGTTCGCAGCTTTTCGTGATGAACATCAATCATTTTAAGTAACTTTAAGTAGTACTGCGAAGTTAAAGAAGTGAAACACTTTCGAAAGTCGATTTTTTAAATTTGTGAATGGATGCAAATCGGAAACGATTTTTTTTTCAGTAAATGAACACCTAGGGCCAGTTGTTCAAAGGTAAGCTGATCGGATTGGATCAAATCTTGAAAATGGGTTGTTCAAAAGGGAAAGAAGGAATCTGAAATCAGATTAGATCAGGGAATCCAATTCTAGTTTTAATCTGGATCAAACCTTCAGTTTGTGTTGTTCAAAACTTGTCAGTGGGATTTGGATAACTTTGATCAAAAAAAAAAAAACAGGATTTGATCCCAACGGGGTAGGATTTCAAGGTGGATTTCAGGAAGAAAATGTAGTAAAACTTTAAAATGGGTCAAATAATACATTTGTATCATTTAGTGTATATACTTTTATTTATATTTTGCTCTTGACTTGTGTAACCGTTGTAACAGTGATAAAGTAGACATAGGCTAACAATTAAGCTGTTCAGTATAGTAAAGGAAAAATAAAATAAAAATGATCTTGTTCCCATTTGTGTTTTGTCTCGAAATAAGAAACACTTACAGTGACACCATGCTGTCTCTTCTACCTGTTCTTTACGTAGCTGGCAGCCCACATTGTGATATGTTGTCCCATTTAGAGCACTGGTAATCTGGATTTGGTAATCTTGAAAACTGTGTATCTGGATCAGGGTGATCCAGTCCAATGTTGCTTTGAAAAACCGGCATAAAATTAAGACGGATTACCTGATCCTGGATAGGAAAAAATGGGATTTCCAAATCTGGATCATTTTGATCCAGATTAAATGTTTTGAACAACTGGCCCCTAAACATGTCCAGTTAGTGTTAAAATGAACTGGATGTACTGAAGGTGTCTGAAGGCTCATGGTACCTCTGGGTTGCTCTCGCGGCCGAAGAACATGTCCGATGAGATGGCTTTAGCATTAGCAAACTTCTCTCGTGCTTCGCTAGACTCCGCGGCTGGCACAGACACCTCAGGCTTCCGTCGGCTGGGCAACCTGACAAGCATCCGGTCACCAGTCATGAAAGCGGCCACAGATCAAAATCACCGACAACTGGATCAGGACATTATTAAGACAGACCAACCTTTCCCCGATTGGCTGGATGCTTGAGATGGTGACCTCACTGTCTTTAGGTTCATCCTTCTCCAGAGCCCAGGAGGAGAATGATGATCCTCCATCATTGTCCCACCGTGACCCAAAGCTGTCTCCTGATGTGAACGGGTTGTCCTTGTACCTGAGATCACAATGAATGTTACGAATTACAAACACACACACACACAAATGGTGTCCGTCACAAACGTACTTTGGTGGTCCCGAGGCAAAGCCAGGCTCATCAAACATGTCCAGCTTGGAGCGAGAGGAGGATTTGACTCCCACCGGGGTCTCCTGCTCGATCACTTGCATCTCAGACATCACGGAATGAGACACGGCACTGCAGAAAAACATCGCATTAACAAAACTAACATCTGTTCTGGGTTATTAATCTGCTGAAGACGGTGATGTCATGCTTGAGGGGAGTGATGTAATTAATGTGACAGTGGTTTAATAGAGGCTTCCGTCCGCTGTGTCTTTACCTCCTGTTCCCGAATCCCATGCCCAGTCTCTCCGCCTGCTGCTTCTTCTTCCCTTCTAGGTTCTGCATTTTCTTCTCCTCCATCTTCCTGTCAATCTCCAGCTCTTTGTAGGCCAGTCGCATCGAGGCCACCCTGTGAGATAAGGGGGAAAAATGCTAAAGCTATAGGTCTGATCGCACTGTTTGAAGAGCCATGAGAATTCAATAGTTTAAAGAGAGGGCAAAATCTTTAAAAAATACATTCTAATAATCCTGTTTATTCTTCAATGAACGCTTCAAAACCGACCAACCATACACATTTTGATGGGTCCAGTACAGCCTCATGTCAAAAATGTGCCCGGGGCAGATAGATTGGACGGGTTTATTATGAGCGAAACACTCACGTTTATGGAGTCTGCTTACTCATGACACATAGCAACAGCTAAAAGTATTCATAAAATGTTTGACCTTTTCGTGGATGTAGCCTACGTTTAAAGGGTTAAGAGATGACTCAACATGATGTTTGAGTTGGGGAAGGTGCAACGCTTTAAAATAAATGCTTTATTTTTTTGTAATTCCACTAGTGAATAGGGCTGTCAAAATTGCTCAAAAATGACTTTTGAATATTCCCTCCAAAAAAACATATATTCGAATATTTGGTTGCACATTTTGTCAATGACGGGACAAATTAATACGAAGAGACTGTATAGGTATTTTATTTAAGTTTAAGGGCCGTACACACCGGGACGAATATCGGCGCG